ACTACTCCCGCTACACCACGGTTTTTCCCTTGCGACGGAAGGCCGACGTGCCCACCGTCCTCGAGCCGTGGCTACTAGCGAGGGGTGGCGCCCAGGGCCTTTGTGGGCTCCGCCTGCATTCGGACCGTGGTGGTGAATTTTCTTCCACTTGTCTGGAGACGTTTTGCCAGGTTCAGGGGATCATCCAGTCTTACACGCTAACAGACTCGCCGCAGCAGAACGGGGTAGCCGTGCGACGCATCGGCCTGGTCATGGGGGTTGCCCGGACCTCCATGTGCCATGCCGGTGCCCCCCAGTTCCTATGGCCTCAGGCAGTCCGCCACGCCGCGCACCAGCTGAACCTGTGGCCCAGTGACGCACGGCCACGGGTGACGCCAGTCTCCCTTTGGACAGGTTCCACGGGTGTAGCAGCTGACTACCGCGTCTGGGGTTCCCTGGCTCACGTTCGCGCCCCTGGCACGAACAAGTTGTCTGCGCGCACCCGTCCCTGCGTCTTTCTTGGCTTCACCCTCGACTCCTCCGGCTGGGCGTTCTACGACCCGGTCACCCGCCTTCGGCTCTCATGACGTCACTTTCGACGAGTCGGTCAGTTACTACAGGAGTCGCCCCCACCGAGGTTCTGAGGCCTTTTCCCCCCCGCTGTTCCTCACCCCTGAGCCTCCCCCCCCCCCCCCCCCCCCCCCTCCCGTCGCCCCGGTAGCCCCTCCCCCCTTCGCGTCCTGCCCCGTCAGGTGTGTCGCACGTCACTTCGCAGTCATCTCCCCCTCAGCGTCCAGTCCCTGTCGTGTGTGGGGGTGCGGGAAGTGCAGCTGCGGAGGGTGGGGGTACTGGGACTGCTGGACCTGGTGGTGCTGGCTCTGGGGGTGCAGGGGGTGTGAGGGTGGAGACCATTTCTGTGGAGGACACGGCTGTCTCGACTCAGCGGCCTTGCCCTGCCTCACCTCCTGGCTTCCCGTCTATCCCACAGTTCCCTCCCCGTTTGGCTCTGCGACCGGTTGCTGCGGAGCCTGGGGGTGTTCCTACGGGAGGTACTGGAGACACAGGGGGTGCCGGTGCTGGAGGTTCTGGTTATGGGGGTGCTGGAGCCGGAGACACGGGCACTGCGACGCCTAAACCGCGCACTGTACGTTTCCTGACCCGTGTGCAGCGTCTAGACCGTTCGGAGAGGGAGGAGCGGGAGCGGTTTGAGAGGGCATGACAGCAGCAGCAGCAGTAGCAGCAGTAGCGGGAGCAGCCTCAGTCGCAGCGTCATGAGAGGGAAGAGGAGGAGCCACAGCCGCAGCAGGAGAGAGTGGAGGAGGATTCACAGCCACAGCAGCAGGTGCAGTTGCAGCCGCAGCAGGAGAGAGTGGAGGAGGAATCATGGCTGCAGCAGTAGGGGCAGTTGCAGCCACAGCAGGAGAGAGTAGAGGAGGAGTCACAGCCGCAGCAGGAGCGGGTAGCGCAGGAGTCCCGGCCGCAGCAACAGGTGCAGTTGCAGTCGCAGCAGGAGAGGGAAGAGGAGGAGCCACAGGAGCAGCAGCAGGGACAGGTGCCGTCGCAGCAGACACCAGAGGAGGCGGTGCAGCGGCGACTGCGCGATTTGCCCGACCCAGCACCCGCACGCTTTGTTCGTGGTCCCCTACCGTCCCCAACTATTCCCCCTGTCGAGTCCCTTTCCTCGTCCCGGTGGACGCGTCGTTCTCCCCTCAGTCGTGATGTGTCTCCAGAGCCTCGTCGGTCCCGTTACCGTGCGGACGAGCCGTTTCACCTTGTTCTCCGCTCTCATGTTCCACCTCCTCCGGTCCTACCACAGCCTCCTAAGTCGTCCCTCTCTGTGTTTCCCGACCCGTTGTCCGACTACCTCCATGCCTCCCGTCCTGTCGTCTTCCGTAAATTGTCCGCGTTGGTCACTCACCCGACTGCCCCCTTGTCGTTTGTCTCGGCTCTTGTTGCCACGGTCGGTGCCTTTGCCTCGTCCCACCGCCTTGACTACACCGCCCACCTGGTGAGCGGCACTGCTCGTTCTCCATGCATTGGGGGGGCTCCTGTCTTTCCCTTGGACGTCCTGGAGGACCAGCAGTTTGAGCTTGGTTCCCTGGCGGCCGCTGTTCCTCATCTTTGTGCCATGCTGCTTTCCCTTGAGAAGGATCCAGACGCCCTTGACATCCCGATCCCTCGCACTCACGCCGAGGCGTTCTTGGGACCCTGGGCTTCGTACTGGATAGCAGCTGAGGAGGCAGAGATGGCATCTTATAGGTCCACAGGCACCTACGTCGACGCCGTCCCACCACCTGGGACAAACGTCGTTAGTGGCATGTGGCTCTACAAGGCGCGCCTGGATCACCACCAGTGTTCAAGGCGCGCTATGTGGCGAGAGGCTTCAGTCAGCGCGAGGGGGCAGACTTCTTCCAGACCTTCGCTCCCACCCCGAAGACGACCACTCTTCGGGTGTTGCTGCACATCGCAGCTGAGCGCGACTACGAGTTACACTCCTTGGGCTTCTCCACAGCGTTCCTTCAGGGGAGCCTGCACGAGCAGATCTGGCTGCGTCGCCCGCCTGGCTTTACTGGCTCTTTCCCTCCCGGGACTCAGTGGCAGCTGCGTCGACCGGTCCACGGCCTGCGTCAGGCTCCCCGTGAGTGGCACGACACACTTCACACGACTCTTGCAGCGCTTGACTTCTTTCCGTCGTTTGCGGACCCGTCACTCTTCGTCCGTCGTCACTCAACCCCGTTTTTTTTTTCTAATTTACGTCAACGACCTGTTGTTCGCCACTCCCGACCGACGCGCACTGGCCTCCGTGAAGGAGGAACTGCAGAGGAGACACACTTGCACTGACTTTGGTGAGCTGCAGTGCTACCTTGGCCTGCAGATCACCAGGGACAGGGCAGCTCGCACCATTACGCTGATGCAGCTGCATATGGTCGAGCAGATCCTCACGCGGTTTCGCTCCTGTTCTCCAAGGTATAGCTCACCCCTCTTGCAGTGGATCATGGGCTCACGGCTCCACATTCGGACGAGCCATTTGAGTCCAGTGGTCCATATCCTGAGCTGGTGGGATGTCTCATGTACCTGATGACCTGTACTCGCCCAGGCCTAGCTTACCCTCTTAGCGTCCTTGCGCGCTTTGTTGCTCCTGGGAGACACCGACCTTCCCTCAGGTACGTTGCTAAGAGGGTGGCAAAGTATGTGACGAGCACATCAGGCTTGGGACTTGTCCTTGGAGGGAAGCAGCCAGTTACAATCACAAGTTTCTTGGACTCGTCGTGGGCCGACGAAGTAGAGTCGTTGCGTTCTACACAAGGTTAGTGCTTCAGCCTAGGGACCGGAGCTGTTTCGTGGAGGTCGACTCGGGCGTCGTCCGTCTCCAGTTCCAGCTGTGAGGCAGAGGTGTACGCTGCGGCCATGGCCGCCCAGGAGCTTCGCTGGCTGTCTTTCCTCCTCACCAACCTTGGTGAGCGGCCTCGATCTCCCCCAGTCTTTTTTGCCGACAACAGGTCTGCTGTCCTGTTGTGCGAGGAGCCCCGACTGGTTGGGAAGGCGAAGCACATCCAGCTTCGTTACTTCCTTCTGCGATAGTTGCAGCAGCGTGGCCAGGCACTCGTGCGACGTGTGGTCTATGCGGCCAACACTGCATATATCTTCACCAAGGCGTTGCCGCCTTGTGACCACCAGCGTTTCTGCACCCAGCTAGGCCTTGTGTCTACCGGCCCTCACTTGCTTACTTAGAGATGCTTTGTCTTGTACTCTTGCATCTCACTATATTTGCTTACTATATATCTGCTTGTGGACTGGCCTTGTGGCCCCTTGCTTTCGTAGAGATGCGTGTCATACTTGTCTTGTACACTTGCATCTTCTATATTTGCTATGTCCTTGCATGTGGACTGGCCTTGTGGCCTCTTGCTTGTTCTCGGACTGCATGGTGATCTTGATATCCACCCCGAAAGTTGTTTTGTTCTTGTGAACTGGTCTTGTGACCGTTGCTTGTTCGTGCTGACTGGCTGGTCTTGTGACCCTTGCTGTGTTTTTCTTTACACATGACTTCCGTCACCTAGACTATGGGGGTGTGTCAAGCTATATTTGTTATAACTTCTGTTTGTAAATCTAGGTGTACTTTCTGTTTGTTAGGGTTAGGGTTTTCTTTCATATATACTTGTTGTATTTTCCCCTTCTAGTCATTCATTTCCATAATTGATATTGTAGCACTGCTTGCCTCTCCTACCCCCTCCCCCTCCCTCCAGTGGACAAGTGGACGGCACAGAAAGTTCTTGGCAAGGCGGTGCTGCAGGCAGGTGCACTCATAGCGCGTGGTATCATACAAGTGTGCCTGCTGCAACGGCTCTTTGCATAGCGGCTCTAGATGAGCCGAGTATAACCTAGGCCCCTGACTGCTGGATGAGTGGAAATCCATGAGGAGGAGAGGGGGGGAATTGAATTTCAGTAAGCCATTTTTGCAGTGGTGTTGAGTGGAACACGAGGAGGAGAGTGGGGAGATGGGAGAGGGAGAAGCAGAAGGAAGGGGAGGGGGGACCTTGATATGGGAGGTTCCGGCGGGGTGTGCTGCCCAGACGGCCTTGGTGCTCTGGGGTACGTCCCTAGCTTCTGCTGTGGGGGGCTCTGGTGCTTGTTGACGTGGCTGCTGCTGCTCCGGTGCACACAGCAGGCACCAAGGCCAGGAGGCATGAAAAAAAGTGTTGAATCGTTCCGAACTGAACTGATCCAATTGCTCTCAACAAAATAGTAGAATGTCTTGGTGTCTAACAAGTTCATGCATTACCACAACGCACTACCGAAAAATTCATCTCACGTTTCAAATTAGGCCTCCCTGATTCCTAAAACAAAATACTCCTAGTACACTGAGTGAATATTTTCCATAGGTTTGCTAGTCTGATTGCTCAGTGTCCAACAAGATCTCACTCTGATGTTTCAGGGTTCACAACAAGAAATCAGTGTTGCTTTAAAATTTGCACTATGCTTTTTACAACGGTATACAGCATGCAGGTCCTTATCTACACTATCTAGTGCACGGGCTTGTCAATGTGGAACACCTCCTCCACATCCTCATCGTCCGAAAGGAAGGGGTTGTCCTCCTCCTCCTCCTCCTCCCCCACGAGCTCCTGATCGTCGCCCAGGTCCTGTTCCACATCCTCCTCCTCCACCTCCTCCCCCTCCTCCTCCTCGTTCTGCCCGGAAGTGCCTGCCTCGTCTTCACCCTCCTTGGCTTTCCCCTTCCTCTCACGCTCTGCCACAGACAGCTTCGCCCTCTTCGCATGGCGCCTCCTCCCCATGGACTTCCAGACATCTAGTGCTTCCGGCCAGCCGATGTCATACTTCAGGAGCGAAATCTGCATCAGCTTGCCCAGCCGCGCGTTGCAGAGCGCGCCTCGCACCCAAGACTTGATAACGTTTTGTCTGGAGAAACCCCTCTCGCACTCTACGGTTGACAGGGGGAGCACCGCGATCGCCTGCCACAGAAGGATCAGGTTGGGCCATCTTTTGCCAGGTACATTCACGCAGCTCCGTTAGAACGAGAAGAAACACTAATGACATGCACACTATTATAGCCTTTCCGCGCTGTCCCGAGCAGTGCCTTACCTCTTCGACTCTCCGCTCCCGAGAAAATTCGTTAGCCCCTGCGCGAAGCTCTCCAGCTCGTTGTGCGTCTCCATTATCACACAAAATGTCGGGAGCTCCCTCTCTGCGGCCTTGAGATCGAATCCCGGCAGCTTGTTGCGGAAAAGCTTGCTGCATCAGTGAAGCCACTCACGGCACTTCCGCTCCCGTTGAGCCTTGATCTTCGGCCACTTCCCCGCCCGGAACAGCTTTGTCGGCCCCAGCTTCTGCAGGTCATCCAGTCGTTCGTTGAGGTTGTCGACGCAATCGCGGGCGAACCTGCGGCAGAGCTACACGCAATTGGCGTAGGTGCTACCGTACTTGTGCCCCGGGAGCGGCCTCTCGTGCATGGTGTACATGTGGTTGATTGGTCGTCCCTAGCACCCGCACCTTCTTGCCTCCGCCATGCCCGTGCAGCTGCAGAAAGCCGACCAGCCAGCACTTGCTCTCGCCACCAAACTGCAAACCGTTCTCCAAGTACCGCTGCGTCAGATCCGTCGTTGTGCCCTCGATGGTCTTGGAAATCTCCGTCACATCCAGCTGTCACAGAACATCCATATAGCACATGTTAGCCAGTTACCAATATTAAAACAAACCTCGCAAAAAGAGAGGCCAATTTGTGACAAATAAGTGCTTACATCACGCTTTTGGAAACAGCGGTTGAGGTCGTTCATGTCTGCGAGGATGCCGGCAAGGAAAAACAGGCAGAACTGGAAATTGTAGCTTGTCACGATCTCGTAGGCCTTGTGGCTGTTCTTCCAGAGCAGAACGATGCACGCGCCCAGGACCTTGCACAGCCGACGCACGGCATCGCCTCGTGACAGCCAGCGAATAGTGTGGATCCCCTGGACTTCAAGGTTGGTGTTGTAGATGACTCGCTGCAGGTACTTGAAGCGTTGACTCCAGACGCACGACGTCCCGAGCTCTGCCACCACTGTGCGCACCACCTTGTCCACCATGTCCAGGTCCGGGTTTGACGTCGCAGCGTCCTTCACAGCCAGAGCCTCCCTGTAGAAGACAGGGGACATAACACAAGATATTTCATTAGAACAATTGTCATGTACTGCTCATCCAAACCTCTAACAAACTCACCGGTGGGCAATACAGTGACATGAAAAGAGATGCGGGACGTGTTCCCGAATCCGCGCCACCAAACCGTTGTCCTTCCCCAACATGACCGACGCCCCGTCCGTACAGACTCCCACTAGCTTGGACACATCGACGGCTGAGGAGCGGAGATGATTCAAGAGCACCTCAAACAGGGACGCTGCATCACATTTCTCAACTGTCAGCACGGTGAAGAACTCAGTGACGACTCGGTGATTCTTCATAAAGGTGAGGTAAACAATCATATGTTTCCCTTGCGTGCGGTCGGTGCTCTCGTCGCAGCTGAGGCCCAAGAATGGGGAAGCTTGGATGTGGTCCATCTGCACCCTCGTGAGGTAGGTACTGATGCTATGAACCATCTGCTGGAAACCATACCTGCACATGGTTGTAAGACAACATGTTAGTAACAAATAAAGAAAACACTGAACGCACAACACGAATATAACCAATCCACGGAATTTGTTCTTCCCGGGTGAGATAAGCCCCGTAAGATTGCCTCGGAATGTCGGGCGTATCCTGCTCCGCGAGATGCCGCATCAGCTTTAGAAACATGCTGATCGGCGCGTCGCACTGGCACAGAAACTGAACCGACCGCATGAGTCGAATCGCGCGCCTCCCCTCGATGTCCGAATTGATGAAGTTTGAAATCACCTGCTGCCCGTTGTTGATGCCCTTCGCAATCTTCGTCTGCCGCTCAATCGCCGCCTTGTGAGCGCCCGTGTGCTCGTGAGCCCGGAACGACTGCGTCTGCAAGTCACGGCCACCGTCATCACCTGGCCTGGCGTAGCGCGTGTCCTCCTTCCCGTACGACATGCAGACGCTTCACTTAACATAGGGGAAGCCATCCTTGATTTTGCCAAAGACAAGCCACAAAAACATACCCGACCACTTCGTCTCGTAATTAATATTTACCTCCAGGTACATCTGCTCTCCTAGCTCCATCTTTGAGAGAGCGGGCGAGCCGGTGTCCGCGCGGACAGGGATATCATCTGACTCCGGGCTGTCAGGGATATGAAGTGGTGGATCAGCCAGGTTGTCAGGCGCAGGAACACGGCGGCCCCCGATGAACAGGGTACTCTGCGCCCACTTGCCAGATCGCGCTCTCTTTGGGCAGGAAGTGGCCGACGGAGGACAAACTGACACCCGCACCGTGCTTGATGTGGGACTTGGTGCGGCTGGTGGGGGAGCTTTACTGCAAGAAGCAACAGCCAGGAGTAGAGTGAAAGCGGCGGGACGGGGAGACTCGGTCGGAGCACTAGTTTCTCTCGCTGCACAGGCATGGAAGGTGGACCTAGGAGGATCGGGTGTAACTGGAGCAGCGCTAGATCTAAGAACATCGAGCCCAGAGCGACGGGCATCAGAAGCTTTCTCCGGCTGGGTAGGCTCCGTAGGTTTCACTGGTTCTGGTGGCTCATCTGAGCCAGCCTGAGGAGCATCGTCGTCGGCCTGCAGCCCGTCCATGGCGGCGAGAAGCTGAGAGAGGGGGAGCGAGAGATACTTCGAGAATGAATGAAAGAAATTAAAATAACAGCAGCACCTACTGAACCCTGGCTGGGAGGGGGAAGCAAGAGATAGTTCGAGAAGACGAGGCCAGCAAGAAACCTCCGCGTCGCCACGAAATTGATGGCTCGATGGTGGAAACCTCGAGTCGTCAATGTATTCTGCCCTTCATGCAAGGCCGAATACATTGAAGGATTGGATGACTGCCAGCACCGACTGCCAACATGTCTCTCTCGCTAATGAGGGACACGTACTGTGCTTTGCGCGGTACGCGTGGCAGCAAAAATCAGTATTCTGATTGCGTTGTCAAAGTTGACTGACAGCTGTGCTGTACAGCGACGTTGTACATGTTAGAATACTAGGATGGTTGCATTAGGTCAAGAGGGGAGTACAAGTACAATGTCGAGAGTAATCTTGTACCCGCTAAGGCTAAACCCACTACAGCCTAAGTGAACATTACCACATATGTTTTGACACACCCCCATAGGCGAAGTGGGGGATAGCCAGAGCAAGCAATGGTCACAAGACCAGTCAAGAGAAGAAGCAAAGCAAAGTAAAGCTCAGGGTGGATCACAAGGCCACCACGCATTCTGAGCACAAGCAAGTGGCCACAAGGCCAGTTCACATGCTGAGTTTATAATAGCAAAGAGCAGTACACTGATCACAACCTAGCAAGTGTAAGCATGCAGGTATACTCATATATATCTGTGTACAACAAGGGCAAGATCAAGAGACAAGCAAGTGAGGCAGAGTAGGCACAAGCCCAAGAGCAGTACAGAAACGCTGATGATCACTAGACCCAAGGGCCTTGGTGAAAACATCAGCTGTGTTGGCCCGAGTGGCCACGTAAGCAAGACGAAGCTGACCACGCTGCTGCAGCTCTCGCGTGAGGAAGTAACGGAGAGCAATGTGCTTCGTTCTGTGCTCCAGTCTCTGGTGCTGACACAAGGCAATCATGGCCTTGTTGTCGACGTACAGAACTGGAGGAGAACGAGGCCGCTCACCCAAGTCGGTCAGCAGGTAGGTCAGCCACCGCAGCTCCTGTGCAGCTATAGCCCCAGCGTAGATCTCGGCCTCACAGCTGGAACTAAGTACAGAGGAAGAACGAGTGGACCTCCACGAGACAGAACCAGTGCCGAGGCTGAAACTGTACCCCTGTGTCGACCGGTGAGTAGTCTGGTCGTCAGCCCAAGAAGCGTCTGAGTGACCGGTGAGAACAACTGAACCCCGTCCTCCAAGCACGAGCCCGATGTGCTGCACAAGTAGCGCAATACCCTCTTCGCAGCATCTCAGTGCATCTTTCGATGCCTACCGGGAGCCACGTAGCGAGCCAGGAGGCTGAGAGGGTACGCGAGTCAGGTCGTGTGCACGTCATCAGGTACATGAGGCAACCCACAAGCTCTGGGTACGGACCACTCGGCTCTACGGACTCGTCCGAAGGTGGAGCTGAGAGCGAGTGGCCGGTAGAAAGCGGAGTGGGCTGTGGCGAGGACCACGTGAAGTCGAAGCGCTGAAGGACCTGCTGCACCATGTGTGATTGAGTGAGGGTGATGGTGCGGCGTGCTCTGTCCCGGGTGATCTGCAAGCCAAGGTAACTCCGCAGCTCACCCAGGTCAGTGCAAGTGTGTCTCTCCTGCAGCTCCGCCTTCACCAAGGCCAGAGCCTCAGTCAGCAGTAGCAGAAACCAAGTCGTCAACGTACACAAGAACGTAAAACGGCGGCAGAGAAGTGTCTGTGCGCAGAAACAGCGAAGGGTCAGCAGTCGAGGGAGCGAAGCCAAGAGCCGCAAGTGTAGTCCTCAGTGTGTCGTGCCACTCGCGGGGCGCCTGTCGAAGGCCGTACACTGGTCGCCAAAGGCTCCACTGGGTACCCTCAGGAAACGACCCAGTGAAGCCACGCGAACGGCGCAACCAGATAGCCTCGTGAAGGCTGCCCTGCAAGAAGGCTGTCGAGAAGTCAAGGGAGTGCAGCTCTTAGTCGCGCTATGCTGCAACGTGCAGTAACACCCGAAGAGTGGTCATCTTCGGGGTGGGGGAGAAGGTCTGAAAGAAGTCGACCCCCTCATGCTGACTGAAGCCTCGTGCAACGTAACGCGCCTTGAAGGCAGGCGGAGAACCCGGCGGCCGCTTCACCCTGAAAATCCACATGCCATCAACTATGTTCGCCCCAGGTGGGGGAACCTCGTCGACGTAGGTGCCTGTGGACTTCCAGGAAGCCATCTCTGCATCCATGGCTATCTGCCACTGAGAGGAGTAGGGACCCGTAATCGCCTCTGCGTAAGTGCGTGGGGTCGGGATGTCTGGTGCATCCGGGTCTCCCTCAGGGCAAAGTAGCAAGGACGCGAGATGCGGTGCAGCGGCCACGAGGCACTCCAGCTCAAACTGCCTGTCCTCAAGAACGTCACAGCCAAGGGCAAGCTCACCCCCGATGGACGGAGGACAGGAAGAGTCAAAGACAAGACTCGCAGCGTAGTCAAGGCGGCACAAAGCGGCAAAGTCAACAAGCTCAGTGACTAAGGCAGACTCAGCAGCAGACTCAAAGAAAGGGTGAGTCACAACTGTGGCAAGGAGACGAGTGACTGTCGGAATAGCAGCACGAAGAAGGTCTGACTCAGGGTCAGGAACGTGAGGGAGAGAGGACGCAGGAGGAGAAGGCAGGACAACAAGCTGAGGAACAGAGGAAGGACGAAGTGCCATACGGTGAGTGCCTGGCACAGCGGGAGCACGAGGACGGACAACACGACGACCACGAACAGGAGTGGAAGCACGAGTCTCAGGCTCACAACGCTCAGGAGTGGAAGCACGAGTCTCAGGCTCACGACGCGCAGTCAGGGACGCAGTGACCTCAGTGTGAGGAGCAGGAGCAGGCAGCGGGGAGCCAGGCAGTAGCTGTGGCTGAGACTGGTCTGTCGGTGGGAACATGAGCGGAGGAGTAGTGCCAGGAACCGGGAACTCAGTAGTAGCAGGTGGGAGACTGAGAAGGCGACCAAGCGCAGACAGCTGCGGCTGAGTATTCGCACCCCAAAGCCCTCCCTCTCCAGTAGCAACAGCACCCCCAGAACCAGTGCCTCCAGCTCCAGTCGCAACAGCACCTCCAGCTCCAAGACGGCTGGCTCCACCACCAGGGCTGCCCCACTGGACAGCCCACTTGCGCAGCCGCTCCGGTGAGAGAGCCTCCTGCCGACCAGCACCACGAACTCCAGTACCTCCAACAGCACCTCCAGTAGTACCTCCAGTGTCAGCACCTCTAGTACCTCCAGCACCTCCAGTACCGCCTGTACCTCCAGTACCAGGAACACCAGCACCAGCACCTCCAGGGCTAGCACCTCCAGAACCTGAACCTCCAGCACCTCCAGCAGCACCTGTGCCTCCAGTAGCAGGAAAACCTGGACTAGCACCTCCAGGGCTAGCACCTCCAGAACCTGCAGCTCCAGTACGTCCAGCGCCACCACCAGGACTGCCCCAACGGACATCCCACTCGCGAAGCCGCTCCGGCGAGAGAGACGTCTGGTGACGCTCGCCAGGACTACCCGCAGCAGTACCCACAGCAGCAGCACCTCCAGTACCTCCAGCTCTAGAAGAGCGAGCACGGCTAGCTCCACCACCAAGGCTGCCCCACTGTACAGCCCACTCGCGAAGCCGCTCCGGCGAGAGAGTCGCCCGCCGACGTGCAACAGTGCCACCAGTACGAGCAACCACACTACCACCAATAGCAGAACCTCCAGCTCAAGCTGTGCCAGCACCTCCAGCACCTCCAGCTCCAAGACGGCTAACTCCACCACCAGGGCTGCCCCACTGGACAGCCCACTCGCGTAGCCGCTCTGACGAGAGAGCCTCCTGCCGACTCGTAGCAGGACCACCAGCACCAGTACCTCCCGTACCTTCTGTACCCAGAGGACCCTCTGCACCCCCAGAACCAGCACCCCTTGTGGTACCACCTCCTGCAGCACCAGAGTCCACGGCATCAGGCTGCAGCTGTGGTGAAGACGGTCGAGGCGGAAACCCAGGAGGGACAGCCAAGCGTGCAGAGCGGCGAGGGGTCACTGTGGCAGCAGGAGCCGGGTCACCCCCCTCAGCCGGGCCAGAGGTGTCTGAAGAGACCTCCAAAGGCTCAACCAAGGGGGGTGGGTCTACCTGAGACACACCTGAGGGAGCGGGACCGTGAGGAGGGAGGGGGGCTACCGGGGGGGGGTCGTCCACCAGGGTGAGAGGCGGGAGGGGTACCGGGGAACTGCGGTGGGGGTGAAGATGGTAGAAGCAGACGGACTCGTCAAAGGTGACGTCCTGGGAGGACAGCACACGACGAGAGCCCGG